CATACCATTTTCATTGCAAGTGGAAACCAACTATTGTGAGTGTTTGTACTTTTGATTTTGTTCTTATTTGTTTAAGTTGCTTTGGTATATATGAATTAGTCTGTTATACCCGTAAAGATTCAATTAGAAATGTTCAAACAATACATTTGGAGGGTAAAGAGGAAGGTTGGAGAAGAAGCTATGAAGAATATAATCAACAACAGTGTATTTTTTGTTTCCTCAAGCAGCAACGATTTCCTTGTAACTTACTATTCTGTCCCCATCAGAAGATTACAATATGATATCCCTGCGTATAGTAATAAGCTTGTGAAGTGGGCCATAAGTCTTGTACAGGTAACTAATTTCTGTTAGTTTTTTTTTTTAAAGATTATTCACTGGATTCAAAAGTTTCAAAAAGAGTCAAAAAGGATGTTAGTTTATTAGAACATATTGAGACTTTCCATCGCAATATGTACTTCAATGAAAATAAATATATATAACTGGTATGAGAATATAGATATAACAAACCAATTCTGAAATTTCGTAAGTTATGTAACGTTTAACATATACATTCACCTTTTGACCACAAACAATTCTGGAATTTTGAAAATTTGCTAAATTACCTTTTTATTACAATTTCTTGCAAAAGCTCAAAATTTAGTTTTTGAGAACTAACGTTTGGCAAAAATATAACAATCTGACAATAATGTTACGAATTATGATGTCTTTTCTTTTGAGGTGTTTGTGGTCATATATATAGCCCTTGAAAAACCAATTTCGCAATTATAATTGACTAACTAGAATATTGGGGTGACTTTGTGTATAATTGGTTAATTCTTGTTGGATGTTTTATGATATGCAAGGTCATTTTTCTGATTTTCCTTAATTTCAAGTATACAAGAATGTCATCTTAGGGATTAAAAGATATTATTTAAATTTGTTGAAGGATTTACACAAACTGGGGGCTAGAAAAATAGTGGTCTTTAGCGCACCCCCACTTGGATGTATACCAATTGAGAGAACACTAGCTGGGGGATCAGAAAGAAAGTGTGTAGACGAGTACAATAAAGCAGCAAGGTTTTTCAATAAGAAGCTAAAAGAAAATCTCCAGTTTCTTGAAAGCACTCTTCCACAATCAAAGATTGCCTTCTCAGATTTCTACAATCCACTCATAAGCATCATTGAAAATCCTCGACAATACGGTATTCACTAGATTTAACCTAATGGTTTTTGGGTTATTCTCAAAAATGGCCAAAAATAGTATATGATGTGTTTAACAAAATTACCACCTCCTTAACCGATAAAATGATAATCAATTTTGTAATGGACGAAATAGCTAAATATTACTTGTTAATGGTCATATCATAAAGAATCTTTTACTAATTTGAAAAAAGGTATTGTACTAAAAAAGATTTATATATTATGAATTACAAATTGTTATTGCGAAATGTACAACTTTTCTTCAGAATTATTTTTTGAATGATTTTTCTATAAGGGGCCATTTGGAAAAATAATTTTGAAATTCCCATACAAAATTGATAGTCGGTCTGTGTAATTGGTAATAAATTGTTATTTGGTTAAATACATCATATTATTTTGTCATTTTTGTGATGATAACTTTTTGCACGATAGTTTTTTATGTATCATATATCCGTCTTGGTAGAAAGTTAAATTATTTATGTTTTCAACTGGTACTTTGTATTTTTTTAATCCACATTTTAGTAAGCTTTTAGTCTTTTGTCTTCTATATATCTAGGGTTTGAGGTTGCAAATCAAGGCTGTTGTGGGACAGGGAAGTTCGAGATGAGTTATTTGTGCAACGAACTTAGCACAACATGCCAGAATGACTCAACATTCTTTTTTTGGGATAGTCTCCACCCAACTGAAAAAGGATGTGATATCTATTCAAAAATTATTCTACCAGATTTGGTGAAAAGTTTGTTCTAAGATTATATAATTTATGAATAATGGAATGGAGCTATATTTACTTATTAATACATGGAATGTAACCTCAAGTAACGGAAATGGTTTAGAATCACTCCCAGATTTATAGATGAACACACTCTAATCTGAATCAAGATATCAAGGAAACCAAACTGTACATGAGCATAATTTTGAGACTTCCATCTACCAAACTCGGTTCCAATCATTACTAGAAACAAGAGTTTTAGAGATGGACGAATCCGTCGCAAATCCGTCGCTAAAGATCATTTGCGACGGATCAACCACAAATTTACTCCATAGCGAATTAAAGGGTGGCTAATGACTTAGCAAGGGATTTAGCGACGGCTTAGTTTTCTCTTGCGATGACCTTAGCGACAAAATCTCCGTTGCAAAATGACACTTAATACTGTTATTTCAGACCTTAGCGACAAAACCTAATAACAATATTCCGTTGCTAATCCCTTGCAAGCATTGATATCTGTTTTTTTAATCCGTCGCTAATCCCTCTCAAACTTTACTTATGATTTTTTTCGTTCCGTCGTTGATCTGTAGCAAATTTAAGATGTGATTTTTTTTCCTTTCCGTAGCTAATCCCTTGCAAATATATAATATCATATTTTTGTTTGTTTTGAATATAAAAGAAAATAATACAAAAAAATCAAATAATTATATAATCCCAAAACAAATATTAACATTTAAATACCAAAAACATCCAATAATTATACAATCTAAAACAAAACTTTAACAATAAAATACCAAAAGAATCTAACAATCAAAGTTTACCAAAACATCCATAAACATCTAATATCAAAGTTTAACATTGATTCATATTTGATTTTAAAGTAATGTACCATAATTCTAAATTTCCTCTCCTATTTTGCATTTCCGCATACACCTTCGTTGCTTGATATCTTGCATCCAAAAGAAGGATCATAATGGAATTGGATTCCAATTCCCATTCAATCCCACAGAATTAGGAGAACCAATTTCGACTTAGTTTTTCCTGCATTGGAAGGAGACTTGGTTGTTTAATGTCTTCTTGTTTTTTGCTACATTCAGGGTCTTTGATGGAAGCATTTCTGTTGATGAAAAGGAGATTAGTGTCTACTCATTTGAAACCAAATGTAGGACTGGAATGGAATTAAATTTCAATTCCAACTAAAAAGCGAATGATAATAAACATCAAATTGGTCTTGACATGGGCCCTTCTCTGATTTCATGCAACTACCTTTATCAACACAAATGCAGTTGACATCAACTAAAATTTTGAGTTAGAAATACACCCAACATGTGGTCAGACGGAATGGAATGGACAAACGAAGGGAATAAAAAAGGTAACAGAATGAATCTTTAAAGTACTCACTTGTCCTAGTTGGCAGTAGATATATTGAACCTTCGACAATGTCTAAACACATAAAAAGATAAAATAATCAATAAAGAAAGATTTTCCCATAATTTGAAGATAGAGTTACAACATTGAAGAGCAGTCAAACTTTGGTCAACACATAGAGAATTCACTATATATATGTGTGAGGTAAATGGTTTAAAAAAATATAAATGATAAAGGGGGAGGAAAGGAAGAAAGTTACCTTATGTTCTATTAAAGGAACTTTAAGAACTTTCTTGTTGACGCCTCTTTTACTGCATGGAATCAATTATAAGATCGGGCATAAAAAATTAACTACAATCTATTGGATTAGAAATTAAACTTACATGTCCCTAACAACTGATCAAAGGTCTTTTCCATTCTTCCCCAGAGGATGCACACGTTCATCGGCTGAAACAGGTTTAGGATAAATTAAGAGACTACTTATCAAAATTATTCATGGAAATTAAAAAAGAAATAATGGTTGACCGGATGACCTCGGATCTGAAAAGTAAAAGTTCTAGCATTGTTCATTGACGGTTGACTTGCCACCCTAGATATAATTCACAAAATTTTATATGTGAAAATTGCAAGAAATAGCAACATACTTTACTCTTATTATGATTGTTATTTTCATTGTAATTTTTATGATTATAAAGAAATGAAATAAAAAACCTGTTTGTAGTTTCAGCACTCATAGCCATAAAAGCTTCTTCCACATTGGTGGAACTTTTAGCACTTGTTTCAAGGAATGGAATCCCAATCTCATCAGCAAATGCCTACACAGTTAACTCTTTTTAGTATTTTCCATTCACTTAAACAATTTAAAAATAATTAACATTATTTATTACCACAACTTTCACATTTGTTGATGTTTAGCCTCAATTTCCACATCTTTAATATCTATCTCCCCACATACTTCCTGTGTTCATACACAGCCTACATTTAAAACACGAATATAAGATGTTAGATAGATTTTGTGACACTACCTTATTGGCCCTGTCTCCTTTCTCTCTATCATCACTACCCTCGCTGCAAATATCACAATTCATTTTTTATTTACAATCATTAACAATGACAAGGGCAATCATGTCATTTGCATAAACAATTTTAACTTTTGTCAAATTGACATCAGTCCCGATCCTTGTCCAATACATGTCAAACACAGTATACAGTGTACATGTCTCAACAAGTTCACCAACAAAAATCTTTGCTATCCCGAATACGACAATAGTCATTGGCATTGAAATCTTGGAACTTCTAGTAATGTTGGCTAATAACTACATAAAGAAGGATTATTAGGCTTCATGTGTTCATACTCATTTTTCAATTAGAGAGAAAAAGAGAAATATCCTTTTCATTTTTAATTTCTGAAATCCATATCTTCTGAAAGATTCATACCTACTCATTTATTCCTCAGTGAACTGTGATAATATTGACCTGGAACATGTATATAAAAACTTATATTATTATTTATGATGTTAAAAGTGACTTTGAAGGACATATATGTAAACTTACTGCACTTGGCCATTTTGTTGGGGTCTCCTGTAGATTGGAATTTTCCAAGTTCAACATCCATGTTTTCCTCTTCTTACTCATCGTCATCTTCTTTGTTCTTTTGATTGGTTGAGATGGCTGCTAAAGTTGAGGTCAACCTGACTCTTGATTTTGTTTTGTTTAAAGGATGAATACTATTTTCCAAATCATCTCTTTAGGAGTTGATATTTGGTTTTGATGATAGAGTTTGAGCCACAATCTCATCATGAGTGTCAGGGGAATCAGCCAGGGATTCATCTAATTCCTCAAATGCTACTTCAAAAGGATCTTTTGATTGCTTCATGAAACCTTGTAGAACAACTGTTACAAATGGTATCCTTCAAGATTTAGCGACTGAGTTGCTTTTGTAACCATTGAATGACACTATGCTTGAGAAAACAAATGAAATTTGAAAAATCTTGAATAAAGAGGTGCTTTCTATGTTTAATTTTAGCATTAAAACAACAATGTAAGGCAAAATTTAGGCAAAAACATTTTGTTTTTGCAATCAGAGATGTGTCTGTGATACTAACAGTCAAGATTCGTAGCTTTAAAATCATTTTAGTTAGATTTAAGTAATGTGAAAGTACATACCAAATATATAACCGAGAACTCCTTGCTTTTGTTCCCTATCGAAAACGATGAAACCTACAATGGCAATTGATAAAGTTTCCACCAGCTCTCTTTGTCCTCTCTAGCGACCCAAAATCCAAAAACCTAAAATATGCAGTGACAATTAAGCGTGATCAAACTATGTATAAAAGTACATATGCATGTAAAAAGAATTTTTATTCATCATCATGATAATCAAGAAAAAAAACTCACTACAGTTGGAAGAAAAGAGAGAAATCAATCTCAATCATAGATATAGACAACTACTCACAAAAGATGATGCCCAATCCAAATCCAAATCACAAACGCGATGTAACTGAACAAACAAACTCGGAAATAGCAAATCAAAATTCTACCTCAATCTGTACATAAGAGTATCATAATTCATCAGCAACACCACGAACTCACGATGAGCGAAAACTAGAAGTGAAAGCCCTTCCAACTCTGGCAGCGACTAGGGATGCCAGCAAATCAGGAATAACAAAACTGAAAATTGAATGGAATGTTTATAAGAAACGAACTTACAAAATTACAATCCTTGATGACACAAGCAAATATCTAATCATATAAAGTGTTAGGCTATATAATACTATTATTTTAATCAATAGAATTAAGACTTTAATTGACAGGGGATAGACTTTTACCCTTTCAGGGAGTGACACCTTCTTCTGTGACACCTAAATTAGATTCATAGCAATTTCATCCAAAATTACCTCAAATTTATTCAAATTTCATCAATTGTAACATCAATTCACAGCTAGTACTATCATCTAACACATATAACACATAACAATGGCCTAAAATTATGCAATTCATCCACAAAAGTTCAAATTTACCTCAAAGTTAATCGGATTTGTAAGAATATGAATGACCACCATAGTTTTCTAGCAACCAACAGATCAAAAAGATTTGGCAGGAAACCACGAGTCAACGAGGAAGGGAGACAGACCGAGAGGAAAGGCACGCGGATGTTCTTTGGCATCGCTTCAAGTAAACTTCCATGAGTGGTGATACATGTAAGATAGGCGATGTAGGTGGACAGTGGTGGAGGTGATTTCCATGGCGGAGGATGGAATTGAGTCAATGCGTTGCGATTTAGGGCTTTATGAGGAAATCGTGTTTAGGGCTTTCAGACGGAATGAAATTAAAATGAGTGAACGTAAAATAAAAGAGAGCGGAATGAGAAAAAAAAAGTGTGGGCCTTTCAGAGATCGATTGGCGAGGCCCAATAAAAAGCTCATGTTTTTAAAAATTCTGTGGTTGTTCCCTAGCTAAAATTTTTGAACTTGCGAAAGATTAGCAAGGGAATTTTTTTGTTGAAAAAGTTAGATCAATCCGTCGCTAAGCCCTCAATAACCCATCACTGAATTTCTAAAACTAATTGAGTTGAAGGATTTTGTGAAATCCGTAGTTGATCCCTCGGAAAACATACGCTAATTAGTTACAGAAGGATTCTGTCTCTAATTCCGTCGCAGAAGGTTAGGTTTCTAGTAGTGAATCTATAACCACCGCATCTTAGGACTAGTAGGTTTAAACTACATTTAGTAAAAAGTAAAATTTTGTGAAATAAAATTAAATAAATAAATAATATTATATTACCATTTAAAAATGAATATTGATCAAGTAACACTACAAGAAATGAGGGCAATAGCGACAACGCCATTAGCGGCGACGTATACTACTAGCGGCGACACGTAATTTGCATGTTACATGTCACCTCTAATAGTATGTGTCGCCGCTAATGGTGTCGCCGTTAATAGTATAAAACCAAGATCTGCGTCAAAACAATCTCGTTAACTGTGTTCATTGATATAGAGCAAATCGAATGGCTAAAAATGATGTTCGCTCAACGTATTAGCGGGGACCTCAATGATAGCGACACCATGGTTGATAATGCTCCAAAAAAATAAGGTGCTATCGTTTCCCTTGTAAGGGGGTTGTTGATGATGTTAGCCTAATAAGATTTTGGGCTTTATTTTGTATTGGGTATTATGATTGGGCCTTTTCGTTAGAAAATCTTAATTAGCTAGTCTATATATTATATCATTTTCATTCATTGTTTTTATACTTCTCTTTGATAATAATATGAAACCCTAGCCGTTATATGTCTTTCACTTGTTAGTTTACATGGTATTAGAGTTTGATTGATTATCTGTACTTTTCGTTTTTTTGGGGGCGAGTTACTGTTCATCGGCACTGTTCACCAATTAATGTTCATCGACATTACTGTTCATGATTATTGTTCATCGGCAATTACTGTTCATCGACGGGTAATGTTCACCGACGAGTACTGTTCACAAGTGACACTGTTCACCGCCGACACTGTTTGTGTTACTGTTTATAGACATTACTGTTTACTGGCGGCACTGTTAATCGATTTCACCGTTCATCGGTACTGTTCATTACATTTTTCATCAGCACTGTTCACGTGCACTGTTCTTTGACACTATTTGCAATTTTGGGTTTGATTTTCTTTTCTCGTTTCCGTATTCGGATTGGTTTGATTTGTTCGTTTTGTCGGTTTTGAGGATTTCGTTTTGTCTATCTTTATTGATTTCGAGATCTTGATTCTTTTTGCTGCTACTCGTATTAACTGTTTGACTGATATTGAAATATGGCCCCAAGGGATGATTCTCTTCAGTCCATTAGTATTCAACTTGATGGCAAAACTATGCCTATTGGAGTTATGTTATGAAAAATTTATTGCGGGGCAAGACTATGTGGGGGATTGTTATAGGTGAAAAGAGGAAATCAATAGACGAGAAGGCTAATAATTATGCAACCTTACTGGATTCATGGGAGACCGATAACTCCAAGATCGTTACTTGGATTAATAATTCTGTTATCCAATCTATTTGTACTCAATTAGCGAAGTATGACACGAAAAAGGAGGTTTGGGATCACTTGGCTAGGTTGTATACTCAGTCTAACTTTGTAAAGCAGTATCAGTTATAGTTTTATATTCGAGCCCTCAAATAGAACAATCTTAGTGTTCAGGAATTTTATGCAGCTATATCGGAATTGTGGGATTAGTTAGCTCTTACAAAACCTGATGTGTTGAAGGTTTTTATGTCATATATTGATAGAAGGGAAGATCAACATTTGGTTCAGTTCTTGATGGCATTACGTTCCTATTTTGATGGTCTGCGTGGATCAATCTTGCATTGTACACCTCTTCCTACCGTTGATTCAGTTGTTCACGAGTTGATTGCTGAAGAAACTCGTATCTAGTCCCATGTTGATAAAGCTCCCAAGATAGCCACTCATGTTGTCTTTACTGTTCCACAACGAACTCAATCTTCAAACCAAAATTGTCCCAGAGTTGCATTTGGAGAGTGTGCTTTTTGTAAGAAGAAGAACAATTGGAAGGAAAATTGTCGTTTGCTGAGAAGCTAGGGAAATCACTAGGAACAACAAACAAGATCATCAACATAGTCTCAACCTTCACAACAGAACAAATCTTCTGGATAGTCATGTCCCTCATTTTCATATTTTAGGCCACCACAGTACACTGTTGCTACACCTTCAGTTGAGAATGAAATAGATTTCACATCACCATCAACCTTGGATCCACTGATTGTTGAGTAGTTCAGGCAGTTCTTAGCTACCAATCCAACTACTGAAGAAACCTCAGCAAACCTCCCCAAGTACCACTCGTACAGTACATCAAGTTCAATCCAAAGACCCGTATGATTGATCTATCGCTGAGGAATGTATATACAAGGGTGGTATATAATCAAGGTTCTATAGGTTTAGAATTGATGAATCCACTTTAACTTGTTTTCCTCGTTGGTATATGAGCTTAAAGAAGAATCATTTATTTGACTACCTTTTCAATCTTAATTATATGCGATTCGTATACACGTGACTGAGATTGATGTACCATGTATGAATTTTAATATGAACTTCAGGACGGAGACTGCCTAAGACTATGAGTAATCGCATCGTCATGTGAACAAACTTATAATCAAATCAAAGGATGCTCCCATAACCAAATCGACCTACAATCTAACACCTATGGAGATACAAGAACCGTCCGGACAACTTAATTACTACTCAATAATGGAATTAGAAGACCAAGATCCTCACCCTGGAGTGCTCCAGTCTTATTCTTCAAGAAAATAGATGGATCATACATAAGTACACCGACTGATGGAGAAATCGACAAGATTCCCATTTGAAATCATTACCCTCTGCCTCGCATAGAATAATGGGTTGACCCACCGCAAGAAATGATATACCTTTTAGAAATGGACCTGAGGTCCGAATATTAATAGTTGCGAGTATTAGAGAAGGATGTCCCAAGGGCAATCTTCCAAACTCGATGCGGATGCTACGAGTCCATAGTGATACCCCTCGGATAAGACCAATACGCCCGTAGTATTCATGAACTTAATGAATAGGGTACGCCATCCTTACTTGGATCAGTTCTTCATCCTCCTTATAGATGACCTACTTATCTAATAACATAGTAAGAAAGAGCAAAGAAACATCCACGACTTAACTTACTCCACGAACTCAGTAACGTACATTTTACCCTCCGCGTCTCGAACTTGAAAACGTACATCTCCGTCAGGACTCTTGTAATCCCACTCGACGAGATCGAGATCAACGAGAGCCTCAATTTCGTGGAAGAACCTGTAGAGATCATGGTCCGTGAGGTCAAGCAGACGAAGCAAAGCCACATCCCAATAGTGAAGGATCACTGGAACGCCAAGCGAGGACCAAAATTCACATGGGAGTGCGAGGATCAAATGAAATTGAAATATCCTCATCTTTTCTCTTAGATATTTGTAACTATTTCATTTGCTTAAACTCTAATTTCGGGACGAAATTCCCTTTAACGAGGGGATGATGTGACAACCCGGAATTTTCATTCGGACATACTCTAAATTCAATCACTTCTATTAAAAGTCAACTACATTTTGTAATAATTTTTAGCCAATTTAAAAGTCTGTTTGAGTGTTTTTAGTATTTATTATTCAAACAAACTAAGGAAAGGAAGTACCGTCTCGCTCTTGAAGTAGCAAACCCACCAAATGCACCTTAGTAAAGATTTCACGTCCAAACTTTTAGAGTTTGGGCCGTAAACTCTTGTGTGACCGTGAACTCATACCTTAGGCATGAGTTTACTCCCTAAACTCCTCATTTTTCACTTCCATTCTCAATAGCACTCTCTATTCTCTCTCAACTATCATCCCGTTCATCACCCGATCTTCCGAAAACGTAAGTGTTTCTCGACTTGATTTGTTGTTATAACCTAACCTCTAGTAGTTATACATCATTTCATCCATTCATTATTTATTTTTAACTAGATCTTCAAGTGTTCTTCAAAACACCAAGAACACCAAGAACACATACCAGTGTTCTTGAAGCTTAAACACCAAATCAAGCTTCTATCTTGTAAGTACACTTACCCTAGCTTCTTTTGTGCTTAATATGAACTTGATAACACTTGAAAATCATCAAAGATCATAAGAACAAAGGATTTTACGGCCAAGGATGTTCTTGGGCCGTAAACCCCTCTTAAGGTGGTTAAATGGACCCTAGTCCCTTCCTAAGCCTTGGATGCCAACCTTTATCCTTCCTAGAAGTGTTTAAGACCTTAAACAACAATCAAAACATTTCTCCATAAGAGTTTACGGCCATAAACACCTAAGGAAGTGGTCCTTAAGCCGTAAACTCTACAAAGTAGCCTTAATGTTCCCCTAATGCCTTCCTAAGGCTTGGACTTGATTATTGGATGTGCAATCATGACTTATAAGACCTCAAAACACAAAATGGCACTTAGTACAATGAGTTTACGTCCATAAACTCATGGGGAAATGGTCATGGCCCGTAAACTCTATAAGGAGTGCTTCATGGGCCATAAACTTCAATGTCATGGCATACAACTCTTAGATGCAACCCTTTGGTACCTATAGCACTTGAATCAAAGTGTTTCCATGACCTAGGGTGTCTTAACTTGATTAATTAGTTGTT